ATTTCGCAACCACGCGGTTCTCTCCTCGGCTTACTTCCTTGCATAAGAGGACCTTCAATTTTTAGAGTAACGATTTTAGAAAAAAAGTATCGTCTTATACACAGAAAAATATGGTACATTTCATAAGAGTTGTGAACCATTTCCTTGCTGTTGGAGATGTAATTCAGGAACTGGAACATTAAATATATGGTTTGGGCTTTTCACACTCTTGCTATATTTTGAATTAGCCCTTTAATGACAGAGGAGTAAGGAAAGCAGCTATTGGGAAAGTGGGAAAGCTGCAGAGTCTTTAAAAAAGGGACTAGAAATGTGCAATGGGCTACTGTAGGTTTTCCCCACATTTCCAGTGTGAAAGTTCAAGGATCTTTCCATCTGTTGTCTTCAGATGGAAGTAAAAACTTTGGGCTCAGTTGGCTGAACATTTTGAGAGTTGTAGTTCTAAGGTATCTGGAGATCTGCAGGTTGGAGAATATTGGTATATAGATTGAGTTTATTGTTGGGAATAGGGGCCCACTGAGGAATACGAGTGAGATCCCCATATTTCCTAAATCAGTGGGCACATTTGGAATTTTGAGAATGCTCTTTGGGAACTCTCAAACAATGGTTTCAATGGGAGTTGTGGCCAATCACAAAATGCTCATCTCCTCAAAGGCAAATAGGTAAACTTGCTCTTACTCTTCTAGTCTCCTAGAATATTTTCTACCCTCTTAGGTCCCCTTTCTCTGTTTTTTTCACCAAGTGGGCTTCAGCCACCCTCCATTCTATTTTGTAAGAACATCTGTGGGATCTACATGGGCCCCAGAAGCATTACTGGAAATAGATTCCTGTCTTTTATCATTATTCAAGGCATTCTTTAATGAAGTCAAGTGGGACAGGAAGTGCTGTGAGTGGTACCAAAGGCACATTGGCCACTTGGAAGACATGGCAATACAGAAAAGAGAAGCAACCTGGTCTCCCCAGAAATTTGAGATTACACCTCTAACCATCACTTGCCACTGGAGAAGTCCAGGTTGCTTTCCCAGGTGGTGGTGTAGTTCCAATAATGAGGTGAGACGAGTCCCCTCACTGAACACATGATTCAGCAGGTGTTCACAGGTGCTTCTCATTGTGATCATTCTTGAATTAGCCTTATGCCAATGGTGCTGTATCCACCAATGAGAGGATTCTGTTTGAAGCTGTGTGTCAGGCCCAACTCCTGGAGACTGTGCAGGTTCAATCAGCAAGGTTTATTAGCTAGCACTTATTTACAGAATCTTCTCAGACTG